TATTGTTTATTTTACCAGGTAAGGCCCACTGAGCTACATAGTTCTTTTTTAGCAGTAACCTGGCCACAAATGATAGCTTAACAAAGTGGCTTATCACGTGGAAATTCATAGCAGTCAAACACTCTAAACACATGTTTCTAAATGTGGAGGGAAAAACCGGAGGACCTAAAAAAAAATCCACGGAACCACGGCGAGAACATGTGAACTCCAAATATACAGGCATCAGGGTCAGGATCGACCCCATGGCCTCCTGTATTCCAAGCAAAGTAGTTAATATCTCGCCACTGTGGCGCCCTTAACATCGGTTAACTTTATGGGAAGACTGCTGAGGTGGAATTCTCGGCATTGGCTACAGAAGATGAGCAATGCCTCGTTCTTGTTTCCATGGAGACCATATGTTATTTTGTAATAGCAATGATGGCATTGGGCGTATTGCAGCTTTACATATTTATTGCCGACATACAGCACTTACACAAGGCAGCTTTGTGTTGCTTTAGGAGGCCACGCTTTTTATTGTATGCAGGTAATATATCCGTGATGACACCTGCACACAATGGGCCTTCTTCAGAATAGCCTGATGCACTTTAACTTCTCCAAGCGATCAGATGGAGCCACTTTATCATGGTGTGCTCTCAGAACGTTATCAGGACTATTAGACGAGGGGTTCAAAGTGTTGAACCATAGACCTCACGAGAACTCTTCCCTACGCAGTTGCCCCCTATTTTCTTATCTCTAAAGGCAGATAACCCAGGAAGCCAGGCTTATTCTCCTTCCACCCTTAAACAAAAACCATAGACTCCTTTCTTGTCTTGTTCTTTAATATTTTCTTGCCTTCTGTGTACCTCCTTTGAGTTTTTTGTTCTATTTTTTGCCTCTTTTTTGTCTTTTTTCCACGTAGTTTAAAATCATCCTCATCTGTTTCAGGTGTGGGTTTTAGTGCTGTTACATGATCGTTGATGCTTTACGCAGCTTTGATTTCTGATTCCTACTTTTGCATGGCCTGAATACACGTGTGGGAAAGAAACATCTATGGCACATTAATGTGTTGACACACATGGGCTCCATCCAGTAAAATTTTCAAGCACGCAGAGACATGCGAGTGGGTTTCTGCCTGGATCAGGAGAAAGCCATCGATTGTATTTTGGTCATTTTCCATTTGCTGGCCATTAGCGGTAACTGGCACCATGCACCCAGACCAAACAGCATTCACGACTTTGCTTTTTGCGGTAACATTTCCTGACGTTCATGCCTAATATGGTGTTACATCGGTGTTTGAAAATGTACGTATTTATATATTTTTTCCACTCCTAAGAGTGTCTTGAATTTCAAGAGTATTTAGTTTAGACAAGTAATTTCTCGTTGATTTGTATTCTGACAAAATATGTTAAGTTTTCTGAATTTGATGTTTTTGGTGCAACTGGATTGTTAAATGCGTCTGCCACTGGACCAGGTGTTAAAAAAGCATGCTGTCCACTGGAAAATGGATTGTAAAGAACCTGCAACGTCATTGACAAGTGTAATCCACCGCATTCCAGTTGTCAACATTTTAATACGCGTGCAGTATGACCATGAGATAAAGGTGCAGCCCTGCAATCGCTTTGTCATTCCACGACTGCTGAAGAGGCTTTACTCCAGGAGCTTCCACTCTAGAGGCCCTCTATACCCTCCTAGAGAGTCCCTCCAAAGGATGTGTTGGCCTACTCTTCCTTGCTCGTAAAATAATACAATGTCAATAATGCAAAGGATATTATTTTGTCTCCTGTTCAAATAAACTCTTCAATCAAAGAGCTGTTTATACGTGCTATATATGCATCGTTTTTTAAAATAAATATTGTATCCCTTTTAGCATCGTTCTAACTGGAGACTTTACAACACGTGTTTAATGTAAAATTTTCTCTTGAACTTTAATATGAATGTTTGTTTCCCATAACAAATCTAACCAAGTTTCAAATATGCTTACTCTTTTGGTTATGACAATTTTTTCCTGGCCGCACCAAACTTACAAAGAAACCTTTGAATAACGAAGGTGGCTTGGGCAGCATACCACAGTTTGGTAAAATGAAACTCCTGTTTTTTTATCCAGGAAAATGAACAAAGAAAAAAGAGAGAGTTGGGGGCGGGCCTAAACATCGAGGTTTTGGGGGTTGTTTAAAATAGCATGGCGCTCTTTTGCATGCAGTAATATCTTGAGCCACAGATCCAAAGCTTTGGTTGTGATGTAAAGAAAGATTAGTTTTCCACATTGTATTAATTAGGTGCTGTGTTTTTTTGCAGCATTATGTGCAGTACCTGCACACTGCTGCTGTGGGTTAGTCATGGCCGGCAACCAGAGGAAATCCAGACAAGCACCAACTTCATTCATTAACACACCTCAGCAAACATCACCTGCAACGAACCGACATACATTTTTTTTTTTACAGCAGACTTCCCAAAGCAGAGGAAAAATACGACGTTATGTTCTTGCTTGAATGAAAATCTGCAGAGGCACAATGTGTATGTACGTTTGGGTGTAAATGACATTTTGTTAAAAGACGATCATGCGTCTGGTTATTCTTGAAGCCCCCAGGTGAGATGACGTGTGGTGAGGCCCAAAGGTCGACCTGGGCTCGGGTTTCATACCCACTGGCAGAGCCTGGGTAATGAATTGCCCCGTGTTCCGAGTGCTCAGGCACATCCTGTTGCTCTGTCCATAATTGACTTCATCTCACCGCGCTCCATCTTCATTTTTTGACGTTACCTCTGTTACCCTCGTCACACGGAAGTGCCACGGATTCATTTGTCTTTCGGCCTCCTTAAAGGGTCCACGGAAGTTTTCACGTCAACCTTTGAAGTACAAAAAAACAAGCTCATCGATCTTTACTAAATTGTTTTAAGAGAGATGAAAATATTCGCAGTAATATTAATAATCCACAGCCCGTTATCAATCCACTGTTGAGTCAGAGCCTCTGCGTGTCTTGTGGGTTTTTGGTGATGTTTGACCAAGCTTGCTGGCAAGTGCGGGGTCGGTGAAGGAGGTGGCCCAAGATACCAGTGCAGATGTCACTCTCAGCACTCATTTTAACTATGGCCGGGAATAAATCTAAACACAGTGTGCTAACCACCGTGCCACCACTCAAACCCGTATGAAAGAACAAAAATTATCATGTGGAGCGATTTTTCAAGTCGTTATTGCCGCTTCAAATACATTGACAGTCAAATATAACGTGTGCGCCTCATGCATCTCAGGGTTTTGCTGCAAGTATTTTATTGTTAATATTAATTTAAGATGCTCACTTTTTATCTGAATACACAATTAGTATTTTTTTTACACGTACAATTTCGTTCCTGTGATTGAATACAGGTGAACTCCTCCTCTTATCCATGACCTTATTACCCATGACCCTATAATTCACGACTCCTACTATTATCCACGGAAGCTATAGCGTTTGGAAAAACTACCCGACTTCACGGCCATAAACTTCCTCTTACCCATGATTTTTCTTGGTGTTTTCCCCACATATAAAGCGGAGTAAATTCGCGGTTGACCGCGTTAAATGATATGATCTGCGATATTGGTCCTCCACATTGTCGTGGATAAAGACGACTTTAAATAACACTGTACTCTGTGAAAATTACACAGCATTTGAAGGGGGACGGTTCCTAAAGCTGCTAAAGTGTTATTTGAGGTTACATGCACAGGCAGTTGGACTTGGGTCTGCTCGGGAGTCCCTGTGGCTTTACGGAGCGAGAGCGTGAAACACAATTCCAGGATGCCTATGGAGGCTCGGCGAGGTTTGGCCCTGAGCCAACACGTGTGCATGTGCGCGTGCATCGGCCGAACCCGCAGATCACCCACGAGTCATGCGATCATCATCACAAACTCGAGAACGTGGAAACGGCAGGAGGTGTGATGAAAATACCACCCCCCCCCCCCCAACAAAATGGAACTTTTAAACACATCATTGTGTCAATTACTCTTTGTCTTTTTGCTCGTGGAGTTGTAGTGGAATAAGGTTTATTCTATTGCGTTTCATGTTACATCTTACATTTACACGCAGTGTGTTGCAGTGTGTGTGTGTGTGTGTTGCGCGTGTGTGCTTGTTATGATTGAATATGCCACTTCTCTTCATTTATTGCACACCCCTCGCATGACTCTCGCCGTGTACAGGGATACACTTTGATGCCGGTGCGGCGTGAGTGCTGTGCTTTACATGGGAGCTGTGAATGCAGGCCAATTGCAGTAGGAATATAGGTGGTCTTTTTGTGCTCCTGTACACAGTGAGTGTGTTTTGTAGCATCTCCACATACGATGCACAATAGCACCATTTGCATCATCATCAGCCATGATCAATCCACTGTTGGACGAAAGCCTCGCCAAGTCATCGTGTTCAGAGGCTATCTGGATTGTTCGATCGCAAGACAGTGTGAGATGGTATCAGCTTGGGGAGGCCTTCATCCAGCAGTGGAGAGATCATGGCTGATGATTTTAATTGGAATTCATTTTTTCCCCTCTGTATATTTCTCAAACGCATAACTATAACTACACTGGAATATCTGTTACTGGAGCTTCCCAGGGCGAGACTACAGCAAGGAATTGGAATCGTTGAGATGAGATGTGAGTTACATGCCTAATAAATGCGAATCGTTAACTTTAACCTTCGCCAAGGCTCTGTCGCAGGGTGCACTGATCCTGTACAGGAAGATCTTATTTCGTTGATTTGTTGCTGTTTTCATCGGTTCACCTTGCTGTGTGTATATTGCCCTTCACTCTTTACTTTTCCATTCTTATCCTCTAATTCTTCCTTTTCTCTATATTGCTTTTCTTTTCCATTTCGTTTTGCGAGATCACAGCTAAGGGCACCTGTAGTTTCAAATTTTCATCATGGTTGCCTGGATATTAGCTGTGTTTTCCTGTTGTTGTTCCAAATATAAATAGATTAATGAGAACAAAAACGTTAATTGTAACCCTATCACATCCTCTCTTTCCTCTCACCTCCATCCCCAAACCCGTCGTCCCACAGGATGAGCTGGACCTCCCAGAGAAGCACCGTGAGGCCATGTTCGCCCTGCCTGCAGAGAAGAAGTGGCAGATCTACTGCAGCAAGAAGCAGGTGCGGCTCCCAAAATCTGGCTCCCATTATGGGGCAGAGTCCTCGGTTTTTGTATGTTCAAGGGTAAGATTGAGGGTGCTTTTTGCTGTGCATCATGAGGCCCACAGGGTGGCCCATAAAACGGTGAATAATGGATTCTCTGTTTTTTTTTTTTGGCGGCACCACAAAAACATGCAAGGGGGCGCGGGAGAGAGGGCCATAAAATTATCGTTTTGGAAGAGGTGTGGTAGCTTGTGTTGACGGTGATGGAGAATTACCTGTCAGGTGGAGAACTAATAATTTTCCATCGAGCGAGGAAAGTTTACCTCATCGTCCAGTGAATATGAGCGTTGTGTCCTTGGAATCGTCTCTTTCAACACAAAGAGAGAAGTGTTGCAAAATTAAATTAACTCCGAAGCCTTTACCTTGCTGGGCCGTTCTGTAAATTCAGGGAGCCTTTAGATTTCAGTTAAGCTTTTCAATTCATAAAATGTATTATTAACACTCATTTTTTTAATAAAATTAACATGGCTCGGCAATTACGCACACGCTGTATGAATGAATTAAATTAACTCTTTCTTTTTTGCACCTTCGACACTGCATGTGTTTTGAGGATTTACGTGTCGCAATGAGCACTTCTCATTTCAGTACAGCTAACAAAACATGTGGATACATCACAACCTGTTTATTCTTCCGTTTGTTTTTCTTCTTCATCAGCCATGTTCAATCCACCGCTGAATGAAGGCCTCCAAAATCTGACGCTACCTTTTGCAGTTTTTTCCTTCTCAGTAAACACCCTAAAACTATACATTGGATTGTTTTTTAACAAAAATGAATTCCATCTTTAAAATGTCACATCTTTAGCTTTTGATTGAATTAATGTACTTAATAAATTAGTTTTAAGTGGAAATAATGTTATTAAGCAACAACATTTGTTATATACAAATACCACTGCCGGGCATGGGTTTGAACATGGCTGATGGTGATGAAGTAAAATCAGGTTCATAGGCAGCAGTAAACTGTTGTTGCTTGTTCTCTGTTACATAACAGAGAAGGATTGCCAGCTTTTAGATACATTTTTATGCATTTCCAGCACTTTTGAGACCATTAATGATTAAGTAATTCATCCATTGCTATCAGATGCATCCCATGTGTACACATACGCCAATGTAATACTGTCCGTGTGTAAAAATGCAACAGCCGAAGGTTATTTTACACATTGCGATCTGCTGTCTGCCCATTGCAGTATAACGAGAACATTATTATATGAATAACCAGTTTAGTACCTTAATATTTAAGTGTTTATAACATGCGCAATATGCGCAGCAAGAGAAAAAAAAGCTTTTACATTCTATAAATGTTTCCTGAAACAAATTTTTGTCATTAAATCACAAAGCACGTGGTCAATTATTACGATCAGTGACACAGGCAAGTAAATTTGAATGCTCCAGTACTTGTATTTAATTAAAACTGGGGAGTAATGAATGGCCTTATTTTTAATGTAGAGAAAATACAGTTGCAGAGCCAATTTCAATATGGAAACTATGATGGGTGTTTCTTTTTTTTCGCACAGCACTTACAACTACAGCTCATGCAAAGAACAAGTTGTGTTAACACCGCCGTGTTTTTTTCACGCTGATTTTCCTGACCCGGCAGACTCCCGCGGGTGTCTGGGTGTGGACAGGAGGCGAAGTTTGCGGCACTAAATGAATGAGCAGGCTGTGTGTTTTACTAGTGGTGCCGACTGACTCTGGCGGCTTCACTCGGTACGCAGTTCTCACAAACGTTCCGGCGCTAGTCCAGCCATCCTACCACCCCGGGCGAACAAGCCCCCCCGCCCCTCTCCCACCCCCGCCCCTCCTTACCAATAAATAAATTCAAGTACTGCGTTGGCAGTGGTATGCAAGGTACAGCTCAAAAACACTGACCACATTAGTCATTGACACTGCCTTGTAATAACGGGAAAAAATATTATATGGTCGGCTGTTGCGTTTGGAAGTGGCCCTCCACAGTGAAGAGAAAAGGAGCAGGGGAACGAAATTGTAATTTTAAAAAAAGTCACTTTACACTGCACGGCTCTGGTTTTATACAAACCATATTAAAATGGCATAGCTTTCTCAGGGGCGCACAATGTCAAGTGTAATAGTCAACCACGAATGAGTCTGCATGCTCTTTCTTATCCTGTCCTCAAGAAGGACAAATGCTCAAAACGTCAGCCTACTACAACTGTATATATTTGTCCATTAGCAATAGAGATCAATTCAGCTCGTGTGCAGGCACTCGGTGCATTCATAGAATCATGAGAGATGGCGATGGCTCGGGGATGCCTTCATATGGCAATTTATTGACCATGGCTGATGATGGTGAAGAATAGAGATCTGTTGAAGTTAAGGGGCCTGCATAGTCCTTAGTGTCCAGCTCTCTTGATGAGTTTGTTTCCCTCGGAAGGCTGCGTGCATTAGCCTGGTAGACAACAACGCTGGTAGCCAGGGAGAACACTTGTCCTTGTATGGCTGCCACTGTGGGTGCGCAGTGGAGGAGCGCCAGCGTAAAAGTGGAATAGGATCGTGGGGCAGATCCAGCACGGCCTAAGCAGCCTATGGAAACTTGGCACAGCACCTACCCAACACGCCGGCTCTTTGGCCTGGCCTCATCCTCCAGTGTCATGGTGTGGATGTGTGAACAGCATCAATGTGACTTCCCGAAAAATACTTTTGGATATAGACATTGTGTTTATGTGCCCTTAAAAAAGTGTTATCCTATCTGCAGCAATGTACACATAATATGTTAACCGTAATGTATGCTACTATAATGTAAACAATACAATACACATTTTAAAAAAATTGTAGGTATATAGAATAAAATATATTTAATATAAATTAGATATCGTAATGTGGGAAGCGGTAGTGCAGTGGTTTGCACACTGTGCTACAAACCCGGCAACCGGAATTTGATTGCCCATCCATGGCTAACATCAGTGGCGAGTGATATCCGAACTGGTCATGAGCGTGCCCTTATGCCAACCTGCACTGACCAGCGTGTTGAGTTATGATAAAAACGACTCCGGAGACCAGCATGCCATGGGGAGGCCATTCACGCAGGATTAGATTGATGAATGACTTTGAGAAAGAAAAACATTATACAAGTAAACGTAAACAGCGTACCCAACAGCATTACAAACGGACCCCTCAGTAAAGCATAGGAAGACGTTCTCTCTTTCCTGTGGAATTTAACTACATCCCCATGCCGTGCGCATCTTACAAACCCACCTCCCATGAGCACGCTTAAAGAATTTCAAGCTCCTTCATTACCGGTGTTTACGGTTGATTTGATTGGGCTGCACATTTTAGTTGGTCTTATTTGGTAATGCTCCCGATATTTAAGAGTCCCCTCTCAAGCTCTGCCGGTTACCCTCTTTGTGGCTCGCCGCTTGTAAATTTATGGGCCTGCCAGATCAACGAAGAAAGGAGGTTGTCCGAGAAACTGCCAGTGCGTGACAGTGAGCAGCAGAGCATAAGCACAATTCTGGCAAACACTCATTTTACAAGTCACTGATGGACAACTGAGTCACTTGGTAATACTCACCATTGGACTAGGTTCAAAGAGAAATGTGGAAATATTGTGTTATGCAGAACTCCTGATATATGTAGAATAAAGTATTAGGTATTCTGCTACAAATGTAATATCTGGCCACAGACAAATTTTCTTCAAAATCAGCCTGACCTCAATCTTTTAAATCACCGATCATTCGCTTTGGCAGGAATGCTTGCGCCCATGAGGAAAGGATTCCAACGCATAAAGAAAATATGAAGTGATTCAAATTGAGCCATAAACTGTTAATTGGACATTTATCCTATCATGTTAAATGTGCTGTCGATGTGGTGAATAATGTCAATCTGTCATGACCATTGTCAAATCCACAAATAAACTAATGTCAGTGGGATACTGTTAAGTTCCAATTGTTTTTTTAATATACCTGACATTGCCCATAGTTTTGATATTGCACACAGTATAAGCATGTGGAGCGGTTGTACAGCAACCGTACTTCTATTCCCAGCCACAACAAACATCAGTGGCGAGTGATATCAGAACCGGCCCAGTCCGTCTCTCCCTCCACCTCCATCACCAACCTGATTTGGTGACCCAGGTCACTCTGGAAAATGAGGGTATCCTGGTCTTCGTGAGTTCTCACCCAGGTCAACAATTCAATTTGACTCAACTTGACCAGTTTGATGATGTATGGTCAGGCAGGACATCAATGAATGAAGAGATGCCTTCATCCATTGGTGGGTTGGGAATGGCTGGGATTTTATATGAATGTATTTAAAATAAAATTTCCAAAACATTGCTTAGCATTGCACAGCCCAGCACAGAGCTCACACTCACTCAATTTAAATTCACATTAAATTAGGCAATCACCCCCCCCCCCACTCCACCATTCCCACCACCTGAGCAGGTGGTTGGTTCGGTGCATCGTGTTTCATCTGCACCCAAGCCCATGCTGCACCGAGTACCAATCGGTGCCCAGTAATTGAAGGCGCTTGGCTTGGGAAAGGGCCAACCCGAGAAAGTGATCTGACCTAGCAAGCTTGAGGCAGACACACTAATCACATGGCCCGCAGCCAGTCTACAGTTATAGACAAAGCTCCATTAACAAATTTAAGATGTAAATGGCAAAAAAATATATGTGAATTACTGCCGGTTTGTTTTAATGTAGGTTGGTGACCATCAACAATGTTTTAGTTGTGTGTTTCAGCCAGACAGTAATGAATGCAAATGTAAAAAAAGGAAAAACTTAGATGACAATTTGGCAGTCGCTTATGGCACTCAATTTATATTTTGCCTGAATAGTTGATTATTTTATATAATGTGCTGCATTTATATTTTACATTTTTATATAATGCTAGAAATCAAACACACACACACATTTTTTTACAACTTGAGTGCAATGGTGGAGCTAATAATGTATTCTGCTTGCCCAACATTATTTCCAAAATGTAACCAAAGAGGAGAGATTTAAA